AACAATAAAACATGATAAATGATACAACTAAAATAGAAAAGTGATAAAGAGAACCTTATTTAATGTATTTTTTTGTTAGGATTTATTATTACACTTATAAAGAAGATTCAAAAGATTGAGAGTAAAAATAAAATGAAATCAACATAAAAAAATAAGATCAATTATACAACAAAAATAGTAAAAGAATAAAGAAAATCTTATTTAATATGTTTTTTTAGGATTTATTATTGCACTTAGAAAAAAGAACTAACGAGATTGATAGTACAAACAAAATGAAATGAAAACAAAATTAATAATGTAATAAAAATATTTAAAAAAAAACCTTTCTTAATGTACTTTTGTTAGGATTTTTGTCTCGCTCTTTAATTTTTTTATGTTCCTTTTTTTTTTTTAGCTTTTATAAAATTTAAATTGTTTTTTTTTTTTTATGTTCTTTTAGAATATGTATTTCAAGAATGTTGTATTTTTATCATAGTTTCTCTATACACTCAAAATTCTCCTATTTTTTTACGAGGACATATATCTCTTGTTTATAGCTCACTCTCCCTAAAACATATTTAATATATTTTTTATTTTTTAAATAAAAGCTCCATCATTTTCACATTCCTTTATTTTTCAATGATCACCGATGGATTTTTTTTTTCACTATCTCGTCTCCTCTTCTAAACATTTACACACTATTTTATTTTTTAAAAAATTTTTACCCACTAATCCACTACTTATTTAAAATTTAAAATTTAAAAATTTGAGTTTTAAACTTTTTTAAATTAATTTTTATTCATTATTTTAACTTCTTACAAAATCTAATTGTTATTTTTAATTTTTAATTTTTTTTATTATTTAAGAAAAAATCCCGAATAAAATTGATTAAACAAATTTAAATTCATCTATCAACTACAAATTCGCTACAACCGTTGTCATCTTCAATTCCAAAAGATTTGCCGGAGCAGATATTTTGGTTACAGGTACTAAATAGATGGCCCCATAATAAATGTGAAGGTTGCTGAAACACTTGCCCCATAATAAATGTGTTAGGGATATAGCCGTTGATTTTATTATTTTTTCTGAGACAGATAGATAGTTACTTTACTGTATTGACATGGATATTAAGACTAAAGAGATATATTTATTTTGCTAGAATTATTCAATATTGCAAATTTTTAGCAGAAAATTTTGATAATTGTTCAGTTGTGCATATGTTTAATAAAATTACATCTGGAGTGTAAAAATGTAAGCTTTTAAATAAAATGAATTTCTTTTACATGATTTTTAATTTTCCTTGAAATTGTATATTTTGTTGTTGATATGTCTCGCTTGCTTCATACGAAGTAGTTCTAATATGTTTATCAATTTGGTCGAATTCCGTATTTGGTTGCTATGTTCTAACCTTAGAAGGTGTCAAATATAAAAGGAGAAAAATATTCACTTTAAAAATTCTTATATTAAATTAAAATTTTTTATTTAACTTGATTAATCAGTAAATTAAATAAAAAATTCAGTTAAAATCTAAAATTTTTTAAATTTATACTAGTGTGAGAAAATTATACTTTAATATAAATTAAGTACAAAAATTTTAATTAAAACTTTATTAATAATTTTTTAATATTTTAACTTATCTTTTTTCTTGTTATTTAACCTGTATCTTGCACAGGTTATTATAAATATTTATTAGATGCACGGAATAATATGTGTAAAATAAAATTGTATAAATATTATTTTAATTTAATTAAAAATTGTAGATATAATTTTTTTAAAATTTTACATAAATTAAATTAAAACTAAATTCATAATACCATATCACTTGAATTTTTGTCAGAAATACATATAATAATTTTTAATTTTATTTTCTCTGTTAAAATTGAGTTTAAGAATTTTTTTTATTCAAATATTTACCACAACTATATTTATTAAGATTCAAGTCATGTTAAAATATAATAACTCTTTAACCACTTAATTCATGTGCTGATTACTTAACTTATTTTATTTAATATACAAAAATTTATGTAAATTATATAATATGTATAATTTGTACTTTTATTAACTGTTTGTAGTACATAAAATTCAATTAGCTGTAATTAAATGCGCAAAGTTTAGTAAAAAAAAATAATTAAATTGTTAAGTTATAAAAAGGATTTAATTTAAATAAATTGATATAATATATATATATATATATATATATATATATTACATTTTTATTTAAATATAAATTTTTATATTAATTAATAAAAATTATTATTTTTATAATAATTAATATAAAAATTATATATATATATATATGGCGTTTTCTATTTTTTTTTTTACAACGTAAATAACTTTTCATCGATAGTGCAAAACAAAAAATTACCAATAATACATCATATAAATGAAATATTTTTATTATTTGAATATAAATTAAAACTAAAATATAAAAGATCGTTTAAAATATTAATTAAATTTCTACATTAAGGGTAATTTTTTTTATATATTTGTCAATGTATGTTATTATTATTATTATGTGAATTAAACTATTTTAAAATATTTTTATAATTAAATTTAAACTAATAATAATGAAAAATAATTAAATTTTCACCCATTGTTTAATATGTATTATTTAAACAGTAAAATTGTAATAATTACTCTTCAAAATCAGTAATAACTTGTTTCATATGAAATTTAATTTATTAAAATAAAAAGTAATACATCTATTGAATATATTGTAATTAATGGATATAAATTTAAATATTACTTAGATGAAAATGATTACATTTTAAAACTATTTTACTCAATATTCAGCGTAACTAATTTTATGAAAATTGTAACTCCAATCCTCTAAAAACTAAAAGTGAAAAATTTGATTAAAACGAGTATTTATTACATAAAATGAAAATATAATATATTTTGTTTATTTAATCAAGACATTATCCTTTGACTGAGATATTTACAGTCAATCCTTACCACTTGATTTTAAAATAAAATTCAATAATAAAAATTATAAATTATACTTAAATGATTTAATTTTCTCTCTCTTATATATATCTGGAAAAGATATATTTGAACCTGATTTTTCTCAGTACAAAGGAAAATTTCTTCCTAGATCACTGATATATTTAATAGATATGCTGTCGCAAAAAGTTTTGTACCACAAGGATTATAATAGAAAATAGAAAATCATTAAAATAATTTATATGTTTTTTTGTAAGATGAAAAGTAAAAGAAACTCGATTGAAATTTGATCGATGAAAATTTTTCTACGCTTTTCTGAAAATGAAAAGTTAAGGATTTTTCTATATTAAGCATTTATTTTTAATGCAATATTAAATTAAATTTTAAAATTTTCATAACTTTTTATTAAAATTTAAAATTTATCTCATAATTTGATTTTGTATTGTAATAAAAAATTTATTATTTAATAATTTATACTCACAAATTATAATAAAGATTGATATGTAGAGTTATATCAAGTAAAAATATTTTTAATTAAGTATTACCATTTTTCAAGTATGTAATGTAATTTATATTTCATTTAATATTTAAGTTTTTAATTAATTTTAATTTTAAAAATTTTTAATCATTTAAATTTATCTCTTTAATTAGTCCCAAATATGTTATAAAGTATTAATTTTTATAAGAAAAATCACTAATATACAGTCTTAAATGCATGTATTACACATAATATAGATATAAATTCTTAATAATTGTAATAAAAACAACATTAGAAACAACATCACAGTAGTTTTTTATATGTAATTTCTTATAAATTTTTTATTATTTATAATAAAATAAAATATTTTAAAAGAAAACACACATATATTACACATACTACTAAGTATAGGTTAAGAAGAATTAATTGTTAAGACTTGAACCAACAATTAGTGTTTATAAAAAAATATACTAACACAACATTGAAATTCAAATTAGAAATTCAAAAGTGAAATCAAATTATAGACATGATATGGAGAAAATTCAAATCTAAAAAAATTTCCTTTTTTTATTTTAAAAACAATTCAATCTAAATTGAATTGAAAAAAAAGAACTAATACTATTTTGATTATAACATGTAATTTAGACTTGCAATATATATATTATAATGAATGTCACTAGTGATATATAGTAATTATGTTATCATTTATGTAATGATTTTTTTTTACACTAAAAGTTTTATTTTATTTATTGAACATTTTATTATTTATTTGTTATTTCCTTAAACAAATAAACCAATCTAATTAAAATACTTTTATATTGAATGAAACAACTAGAATTCAATTTATAAACAAGCCAAAAGAATAGTAAAATTAAAAACATAGTGATTTTTTTTTCAATGACTTTCTTTTTCAAAATGAATCACATTAACTTCATGAACATCTCTACTTCTATGAAATAAATGGAAAGTAAAAATTGAACATATTACTTGTTTCTTAGGACTAATCAGTATCTTGACTCAGTCTGCCTAATTTATTTTTCCCTAGCTTCTAGCACGCGCCTACTTTATTGACTCTTATTATCCTCATCCACTTAAGTAGTGCTCTTGAAAACTATTTTTCATAATTGAATTGAGGGCTTCATTTTGACTTAGGATATGGCAGAATAGCAAAAGCACTAAGAATTAAAGTGGTTTGAATTTTCTCTTTAATGAAGAAAAGAACCAAAAAAATTGAAAAACAATTACCAACATCCTATGATATTTACGCACTATATAACAACGTGTGGAAAACTTATATATAAAGTGGTCAACGTTATTTTGTGTGGAATATGATATAATAGAAAATAATAAAATATGAGATTTAGATAAAATTATGATATGGTGAAAGTATAATAGATTATTATTTATTTTAGGTTTTATGTGTAATTCAAGTTTATTTCTTTTTAATTCAAGTTTTATATAAAATAAAAATTATATTAAAAAAGTATAATAAATTTATAAAATAATTATTATATTTTATTAATTAAACAAGCATAAAGAATAATATCCATGAAACCAACCCTTAACTAATTGCATGTAAAGCTTGCTGCAGTCTATAAAATATAATGAAATAACAAGCTATCTCTTCACCACAAGACAAGCTTTTCATAATTCACCATGAGAGGACACAGACTCTTTTGTGTATTCTTGATTCCTTTCTGCTTATTGAATTCCATTGCCAACATCTTTGTTCTGAATGCTTACTGTCTTGACAATCAACGTTCCTTATTGCTCAACTTGAAAAATAACCTGATATTCAACCCTTCAAAATCCAAAAAGCTAGTTCTTTGGAATCAAAGTGAAGATTGTTGTCAATGGGAAGGAGTAAAATGCAATGAGGGACATGTTATAGCCCTCGACCTCAGTGAAGAATCTATCTCTGGAGGGCTAGCTGATTCAAGCATTCTTTTTAGCTTGGAATATCTACAAAGCTTGAATTTGGCTTTTAATAACATACATTCAGTGATTCCTTCAGAGCTGCACAAGTTGAAAAACTTGAGGTATCTGAACTTGTCTATGTCTGGCTTCGAGGGACAAATTCCACATGAGATTTCTTATCTAAAAAGGTTGGTTACTATTGATTTATCTTCTTCATTTACATCACCTAATAGGCTAAAACTTGAGAAGCCAAATATAGCAATGCTTTTGCAAAACCTCACAGATATCAAAGAATTGTTTCTTGATGGTGTAGCAATATCTTCCAAGGGAGAAGAGTGGTGCCATGCTTTATCTTCATTACAGGATTTACGTGTTCTAAGCATGTCATCATGCAATCTCTCAGGACCTATTGATTCTTCACTATCTAAGCTACATTCACTCTCTGTCCTGAAATTGAGCCATAACAATATGTCAAGCACAGTGCCAGAATCCTTTGTAAATTTCTCCAATCTGGCTACACTAGAACTGGGTAGTTGTGGCTTGAGTGGTTCTTTTCCAAAAGGTATCTTTCAAGTACCAACATTAAAGGTTCTTGACTTATCATACAATCAAGATCTTGGTGGTACTTTTCCTAACTTTCCAACATATGGGTCGCTTCAGTATTTGAATCTTAGTAACACAAATTTTTCAGGACAGTTCCCAGATACCATTTCCAATTTGCAGCAATTGTCAACAATTGATTTATCTTATTGCCAATTCAATGGAACACTTCCAAGTTCAATGTCAAAACTCACCCAACTTGTTCATCTTGACTTGTCTTCCAATAATTTCACAGGTTCACTTCCTTCTTTCAATATTTCCAAAAACCTCACATATTTATTCCTCTTTCATAATCATTTAAGTGGGGTGTTGCCACCTAGCTATTTTGAGGGCAACGAAAATCTTGTGACCATTGATTTAGGATTCAATTCTTTCAGTGGAAGGATCCCCTCATCTCTGTTTAAACTTCCACATTTGCTTGAACTCAGGCTTCCTTATAATCAATTCAGTGGTCTCTTTGATGAGTTTTCCTCTTCACCGGTATTAGAGATGCTTGATTTGAGTGGCAATAGTTTACAAGGGCCTATTCCCATGTCTATCTTTAACCTAAGAACACTTCGCGTCATTCAACTTTCTTCAAACAAGTTTAATGGCACAGTCAAATTGGACATGATTCGTAGGCTGCATAATTTAACTACACTAGCCCTCTCACATAACAATTTGTCAATTGATATACACTATAAGGATGATTTTGATCCATCACCCTTTCCTAAATTAGGAAATCTAATGGTGGCATTTTGCAAGATGAGAGGGTTCCCTAGTTTCCTGAGAAATCAATCCACATTACTATATCTTGACCTAGCTGGCAATGAGATTGAAGGACCAATTCCTAGTTGGATTTGGCAACTTGATTATGTGATGCACTTGAATCTTTCAAAAAATTCTCTGACAAATTTAGAAGGAAGTTTCTGGAACGCTAGTGAGAACCTCTTTTTGGTTGATCTTAGTTTCAACCTACTGGAAGGGCCTTTTCCTTTCATTCCAAAGCTTGTAAATTATTTGGACTACTCAAACAATAGATTTAGCTCTATCATTCCATTGGACATTGGAAACCACCTCCCTTTTGCAACTACTCTGTCTCTTTCAAACAACAATTTTGAAGGACAAATCCCTGAATCCTTTTGCAATGCTTCAAGTCTTCATCTGCTAGATCTTTCATACAATAACTTTGTTGGGATGATTCCAAAGTGTTTTGCAACATTGAGTAACAACCTTAGGGTGCTCAATTTTGGTGGCAATAAACTTCATGGTCATATTCCTAACACATTTCCATCTTCTTGTACTCTACAGTTATTGGATCTAAATGACAATCTCTTGGGGGGTACCATCCCAGAATCATTAGTGAATTGTCAGAAACTTCAATTCCTAAACCTTGGTACGAACATGTTAACGGACAGATTTCCATGTTTCTTAAGCAACATTTCCACCTTGCGTATCATGGATTTGAAATCAAACAAGCTTCATGGGTCCATTGAATGCCCGAGAAGCACTGGTAATTGGGAAATGCTTCATATTGTTGAACTAGCATCCAATAATTTCAGCGGGGCAATACCAGGGTCATTATTACTTAGTTGGAAAGCAATGATGCGGGATGAAGTTGGGCCAGAATTTGGCCACTTCTTTCTTGATGTTGTTGATCACTACAATCCTATAAATTTCAAGGATATAGTGTCACATTTGAACAAAGAAATTGCAGACAAAATAATTAAACTTGTTACAAATGTGCCTCGCTATATCCTTGACCAGGGATCCTCTGATACTTATGCAGTAGATCTTTCAAGATATCAGAGTTCAATCATTATTGTCAACAAAGGTCTACAAATGAAACTTGTCAAAATTCAACGAGCCTTCACTTATGTGGACTTGTCCAACAACAATTTTGAGGGGCCAATACCTGATGAGTTGATGCAGCTGAAGGCACTGTTTGCTCTTAACTTGTCAAATAATGCATTATCGGGTCATATCCCATCATCTATAGGAAATTTGAAAAATATTGAGTCTTTGGACCTGTCCAATAATTCTTTCAATGGAAGGATTCCCGCAGAGCTTGCAAGCCTATCTTTCCTTGCTTATTTGAATCTCTCATTTAATCACCTTGTTGGGGAAATTCCAGATGGTACTCAAATTCAATCATTTGATGCAAATTCCTTTAAAGGTAATGGAGAGTTATGTGGACCTCCATTGACCCACAATTGCAGTGATGTCGGAGTGCATGGACTATCTAAAACACCTCATGACATTGAGAGTTCAATTCATTGGAATTTCTTAAGTGCAGAGTTGGGCTTTATTTTTGGCTTTGGAATTTTTATTCTCCCTCTCATTTTGTGGAGGAGATGGAGACTGTGGTATTCCAAACATGTTGATGAGATGCTTTACAAAATCATCCCCCAACTTGATTTTGTATATGAAGTCCATGGAGGGAGAAGGTATAAAACTCTAGGATGCAGAAGGTGAACTCGAGGAAAAAGCTTCATTGATTTAGCTCATGCAATAGTGAAATTTGTACTCTACTAGTTTTTGGGTCTTGTGAGCAGTATAGAATAAGGATTGTGTCCACGCATAGATCATGTTTGAGCCTATTTACAAGTTATAGTATGTAAAATGGATAATCTGATTACGTATACGTCGATATCTGTCACCATATTCAATATACTGTATTGTAATCTTGGACAATTTAAGCCTTTTTCTTAACAATTATTCAAAGATCTAGGTACATTTCATTCCTTATTCTACTACTTACGCATTATTCAGAAAGAGATCGTGATCAACGCAAGTCTTAGTTTTGAATTAATTATTGGTTATAAAATTTTTGGGTAGATCAATCAATTACGCCTTGTACCGAAACTATTAGCATGTCCTAAGAAATTTGTTACAACATATACCATGTTATTTCAATTTGACTTAATTGAGTGATTAATCTATGTAAGTATCACTGTATATTTTAAATCTCTATAAACATTTTATTTAATTTAGTCTCCGAAAAATATAAAAATTACATGGTTTTAGTTCTTTGTATGAGATTAAAATCACATTTTTTAAATATAAAAATCAAAATCAAATATTTTTTTATAAAAATTAAAATTAAAATAATAATATTTTTAAAAATTAATTACTTAATTAAAATTTTTATTTTGCCAATATATTACAATTTTTTACATCTTAGTCTTTGAAATTATCATAATATTTATCACAATTTAAGGATAATTAAAGACATAACTGGTGGAGTGTGCTTTTCCATTCTTTTAACTGTTTGCGTTCTTTAATCATTAAGTTGTATACGTATTTATTTTTAAAAGAAAATATATACATTATTCACTAACTATTTATACTAAAAGTCTATTGTGAACGGTCTCAAATTTTTAGTTTCTAATTTTTAAATGTAAAATTTAAAACAAAATATGTTTAACAAAAAAAAAAAAAAGATTTTATTTTAACTTAAATTTAAATAATTTTATCTTAATTTTACAATAAATAATAAAAATTATCATTACTACTATTTTTATCGTCGTTATAATTGATGTGACCACTGCAATACCATTCATTAACATTATAATAATAATAATAATTATTATTATTATTAGTACTTTTACAATTACCATCATTTATATTATAATTATTATTGTCGCTGTCATACGCTGAAATTCTCCTACTATTACTATTCATTTTACAATAATTATCGTGGCTGTGACCGTTGCTCCTTCTCTTGCTACCTCCACGATACCATCGTCATCTTTTCCTCTCTTATAATATTATTTCCACGCTCATAGTTACTCCATAATTTGACAAATTTAATTTGAGAAATAAAAACAATTTGTACTCTTTAAATTTAAGATTTTGTATTAAAATTTTAAAATTAAAAAAATACAAATATTTAAAACTAAAAATTTGTTTAATTTTTAGAAAAATCAAAACTTAAAACTAACAACACCACCAAATGAGGCCTAATATTCTCACAAATGTTACCTTTAATCATAGTTCTAAGAAGATTTATTTAAACTGGTAATTTTTTTTACTACATGATATTATTATATTAAAATAAAAATTTTAAATAAATAATTTAAAATATATTGTATGACTAATTTAAAATTTAATAAATTAAAAGATTAAATATTATAATTATTAATAATAAATATTCTAGTACATTAAATTAATTTTAAATTAAAATTTAAATTATGAAAATTTAATTAACATTAAATAAAAAATAAATAAAAATATAAAAAAATCAGTTTGCATAATGAGAAAAAGAATTAACTTCTAAAAGGTTCCGTTTTAAAAAGTTTCAAAAAACAATACTCTTGTTTAAATATGTACTTACAAATATACGTAGAGGTCGATTATCATGAACTTAGAACTTACTCAACGATAATTTCTACAGTTTTATTATCATCAAATACTTTGTCACTAAAAATTATCTCAATTGTTAGGATGATTTTTGTTGGTACAACATGTTTAAAAACTAAAAAAATTGTTAATATAGACTTTAACAATTTATACTAAGATATATCAGTGAATAACTTGTTTAAATTTTAGAGTATTTACATGATTTTGATCCGTGATTATATAATTAATATCATTAAGATATGATATTTAATATTAATTATAAATAAAAAAAAGAGGAAGTTAATGTTTGTGTCTTTTAGACTTCTAAGATAACCACTAGATAACTATTTTTAATAGTAACTGTCGCAACCGGACGGTCGCAATAGTATGGCGAAAAACGTTTTCAAAATATTAGAGGAGTCACCACCAAAGTTTTTTTAATAAAACCTTGAATTTTTTTTTAAATAATATGATCTTTGAAACAAAAAATGAGTTCGAGAGTCATTTACGTGTAGGGAAGGTATTAACACTCCACAACGTCCGTTTAAAAATGATTACTTAAAATTAATTGTGCAAATTCATTTTAATTTTGAAAATATTTATTTTATCCCTAAACATTAATTATTTTTATTTTATAAAAAGAAAAATTATTTGTTGAAATGTTAACTCAGTATCTTAAAAAAAGAAAAAAATTATTTTAAAAATTATTTTGATTTGACAGGTTCGGTTCCCGCTCCTACGTATCTTCAAGTGTAATGAAAAACTCAAAGTCATGTAGTTCTATCTAAAAAATTAAGAGGTTAGTTGATTAAAAATGAATTTAGTAAGAGAAAATTCATTTTGAAATTCAAATTATTTTCATAAAATTATCATGTTTAAGGATACAAGATAACACAGTTATACATATACCCTACAAGAAACAATACAGAAGGTGAAGGAAGATCACACAACTATATTGTCAATCGTTAAAAATATTTTGCTCATAAACGAAGTATTTGAATTTTAATGTTGATAAAGTAATTGAAGACATATCGAAGACATTTTATTAAATCCTAAACCCTAAACTCAAAATATGGTCCTAAGTCTGTGAGCGAGAAAAGAAAGAAAAACCTTGATGCAGTGTACAAGTTTCAGAGTTGAACGATAAAGGAAGATGATGAAGCGGCTGATATGGTGTGATTTTTTTCTCTTCTTTTGGTATCTGATTTCTTCTTCTACTCTTTTGTTCTTCCCTCTAACTGTATAGTCTTCCGTTTTGTGTTCGTCTTTCTTCTCTTTTTTTCAGATATCTAAAAAACATTTGTTGTCTCTCTTAAAAATTTTGTTCTCCCTCTCTCAAAAAATTCGTTGTTGTCTCCTCTCTGTTTCTGAAAACCCTCTCCCTTTTCTCTTCTTTTTTTTAAAAGATTTTGTCGCTCTTCTAATTTTTTTTTCATTTTTTCCCCTCGGAAGCCCCTTCCTTCTCTTACTTGAGATTTTATATTGGGTACATTTAGTGTTTTTACAAAACGCCAGAGGTCCAGAGTTTTTCCAAATTCATGCTTAACATTGGTCTTTGATGCTGGGTATGAGCCTGCATAGTGCAGGACTTTCATTTCCGAAACCAAACTCTTTTTTCAAAAATTTTCTATTTTTTTGTAAAACTATTTTATTATTTTATCTTTTATTTTTTGGAGGCAATCTGAGAAAGGAAAAAATCGGTATTCACAGTTGCCCATCTTTACTCAGTTCATATCAATTAGAGATATTTTGAATTTAGAGTTGATGAGAACTGAGTAAAGAAGTGAATCAATTTTTGTCTGAAACGAACAACGTGTACAGGGAATACAAAGACAAATATAGTAGACATTCAGCTGTTAGAGAAAGTTGAAATTTATGAAGATTTGTGTTTGAATGAAATTGTGAAGCAACATTGAGTTTTAACTAAAAACAAAGGTTGCTAGACAGATACTGGGCTTAAACAATAGGATAAAAGGTGGAAAGTGCCAGTTCGGTTCTGGATTTTGACATAAGGATAAAAGGTGTCAGTCACGTTCTAGACTATAGAAGAGAAGTAAAAGGTGCCAGTTAGGTGCTGGGCTTTGACAGAAAAATAAAATGTGCCAGTTTGATTCTAAGTTTTAATAGAAAAATAATATGTGTCAGTTCGATTTTGAGCTTTGACAGAAAAGTGAAATGTGCCAAGTAGATTCTGGGCTTTGACAGAGAAAAGAAAGTGTCAATCAGGTTTTGGACTTTGAGAGAACAGTGAAATGCTAGGCAGGTTTTGGGTTTTGACAGAAAAGTGAAATGTGCCAAGCAGGTGTGGGCTTTGAAAAAAAGAAAAAAAAAACATAAAGAGGCTTGGACAAGAAAGGCAAAAAGAAAGACAAAAAAATAAAAAGGTCAAACATGTTCTGGATTGCAAAAGAAAATAAAAAGGACAGTCAGACTCTGAACTTTAACAGTAAAAGTAAGACAGAGAAATAAAGAGATCAGTCAGCTTCTGAATTTTGATGAAAGGTAAAGAACTCAGTTAGATCATAGTCTTAGACTGAACATAAAGGTTGCAAGGCAGATAATGAATTTAAATTAAACTTCAAATGGTAACAATAGATAAAAGCAGATGCATGCTAATGTAATAATGCGATTGCATAAACTAGATGAATGTTGTCACTTGGAATGAAGTTATTGAATGATGAATCAAAACAAACTCTCTGTCTTTTTTGGGGGGAATAGTAATCTTTCAACCTTATCAGAATATGCACTTCAAGGTTCATGAATGAGTATGCTCTTCGGTCAGGATCAATTCTTTCATGAGATCTGAACTGGGTGTGACATGAATCAAATTGGATTGCCAATTAAGTGACGTCTTCTAGATGAACAATGCTAGTCTCTTATGTAAATTGATCATACATTAATAAAACTGTCAAATGAAATTGCCCCAGTGTGATATTTTGAATTCATCTTTCGTTTAATTCAACCTCAACCTCCCAAAATTGCCCAGTCTAGTATTCTAGTCCATCATATTTTCCAACTTGAACCGCTTTCTTGCAACTGAAGTCAGTGCCCCTTCTGAACCGCCCTTTCAGGTTTTCAGTTCAGTGTAGTATTTATTTGACCTTAATTTTTGCCTGAGCTACTTTTTCGAGTTTTCAACTCACCAGGTCACTCTAACTTTTGCCTAGGTCGCCTTTTCAGGTTTTCAACCTAGCGAGTTGTTTTCTTTTTTCCTTTTTCTTTTTTTTTTTCTCTTTTTTTTAATTATTTTTTTTAAGCATAGTATTTTTTCACAACATCAGAATTGATGGGGTTTGGAAGATCTTGTCCATCCGTGTTTGTGAGGATTAGAACTCCTCCTAAGAAAGCATTTTTCACCACGTATGGTCCTTCATAATTCGGGGACCACTTGCCATGATAATCTTTATGCGTTGGTAAAATCTTTTTGAGCACCATATCTCCCTCACTGAATTCTCTTGAATGAACCTTTTTATCAAAAGCCTTCTTCATCCTTCTCTGGTATAGTTGATCGTGACATAACGCATTCAACCGTTTTCCTCAATGAGATTCGATTGATCAAAACGAGATTGCACCCATTCTCCTTCCTCCAATTTGGTCTCCATTATTACTCTTAAAGAGGGAATTTCAACTTCAATAGGAAGTACTGCTTCCATTCCATATACCAAAGAGTATGGAGTTGCCCCGGTTGAAGTACGAACTGAAGTTGGGTATCCATGCAAGGCAACATTCCATACTACCATCTTTTGGATGATCTTCTTAATATTTTTATTGGCTGCTTCAACTACTTCATTTATCTTTGGGCAATAGGGAGAGGAATTATGATGTCAAATCTTGAAATTGTCACACAATTCTTTCATCATTTTGTTGTTCAAATTAGTGCCATTGTCTGTTATCAACTTGCTTGGGAGGCCATATCGACAAATCAAATCCTTTTTAATGAATCTCACCACCACATTTCGGGTCACACTAGTATATGAAGCAGCCTCAACCCATTTTGTGAAATAGTCAATAGCAACTAGAATGAAGCGATGACCATTAGAGGCTTTAGGTTCAATGGGTCCAATAACATCAATTCCCCACATTGAAAAAGGCCAGGGCGATGATAAGACATTCAAATTTGTTAGGGGAATATTAATATTGTCTGCATATGTCTGACATTTATGACATGTTTTCACATAACAAAAGCAATCGACCTCCATTGTCAACCAATAATATCCAGCCTTTAGAATCTTCTTTGCCATGGCATGTCCATTGGCATGAGTCCCAAATGAACCTTCGTGAATCTCTTCCATGATCTTTCGTGCTTCTAAAGCATCCACATATCTAAGCAGAACCATATCATGATTCCTTTTGTAGAGCACATCTCCATTCAGAAAGAAACTCATTGATAACCTTCTCAATGTCCTTTTGTCATTTTCAACAACATTTAATGGGTATTCTTGGTGTTTTAGAAAATTTTTAATGTCATGATACCAAGGTTACCATCAGATTCTTCTTCAACCATTTGACAATAGGCAAGATTATCAAGCTGTTACATCTTTATGAACGGTATGTCTTCTTTTTGACTCACTACAAACATTGATGATAAAGTGGCTAAAGCATCAGCCAATTGATTCTCCTCACGAGGAATATGCTGGAAAGTAATTTCATCGAAATACTCCACCAACTCTCTGATATAGGCTTGACAAGGGATCAATTTGGCATCGCGAGTCTCCCATTCACCTTTCAGCTGGTGGATGACCAAAGCTGAGTCACCATACACCTCGAGAATTTTTATCTTAGACTTTATAGCTGCTTGAATTCTCATAGCACATGCTTCATATTCAGCTATATTATTCGTACAATCGAATGATAATCTAGCTGTGATCGGGATATATTGCTTCTCTGGGGAAATCAGTATAGCACCAATCCCATGTCCGAGTGCATTAGAAGCACCATCAAACATCATGACCCATTCATCTTTTGCTGAAGATTCTTTCTCATTAAACAACGTCATTATATTTTCATCAGGAAATTCTTATTGTATTAACTGATAATCATTCATCGGTTGATGAGCTAGGAAATCTCCAAGAGCACTGCCTTTGATTACTTTTTGAGTAACATACACAATATCATATTCTAACAATAAGATCTGCCAACGAGCAATCCTTCCAGTAAGGGCTGGTTTCTCAAAGATGTATTTGATTGAGTCCATTTTTTACACCAACCAAGTCGTGTGATTCAACATATATTGCCTTAACTTGCGAGCTGCCCAAGCCAAGGCACAACTGGTTCGCTCCAACAAAGAGTATCTAGCTTCACAATCAGTGAATTTCTTGCTCAAATAATAAATGGCATGCTCTTTCTGACCCGATTCATCATGTTGACCTAAAACACATCCCATGGATCCTTTTAACACTGTCAAATATATAATAAGCAGTCTCCCTAGCACTAGCAGCACTAATATCAGAGAATTTTGTAAATATTGCTTTATCTTCTCAAAAGCTTCTTGACAATCTCCATTCCATTCCATCGGCTGATTTTTTCGTAACAGCTTAAAAATTGGTTCACAAGTGGCAGTTAGTTGGCATATGAATCGAGCAATATAATTCAATCTCCCCAAAAATCCGCGAACCTCCTTTTCAGTGCAGGGAGGCGGCATTTCAATGATTGCTTTTGCCTTGTCAGGATCAACTTTTATTCCCTTTTGACTGACTATGAATCCCAACAACTTGCCTGATTTTACTCCAAAGGTACATTTGACAGGGTTCAATCACAATTTGAATTTTCTCAACTGCTCAAACAACTTGTGTAAATTTACAACATGGTCTTCTTCGGTCCTTAATTTAGCAATCATATCATCCATATAGACTTCAACCTCCTTGTGCATCATATCATGAAATAATGTCACCATCGCCCTTTAATATATTGCCCCAGCATTTTTCAAACTGAAAGGCATGATCTTGTAGGAAAAGGTACCATAAGGTGTAATGAATGTGGTCTTCTCCATATCTTCTTCAGCCATTTTGATCTGATTATAACACGAGTAACCATCCATAAAAGAGAAGAATGAATGTTGAGCTGTATTATCTACTAGCATATCAATGTGAGGCAATGGAAACCCGTGTTTAGGGCTGGCCCTATTTAGATCCCGATAGTCAACACGCATCCGAACCTTTCCATCTTTCTTAGGAACTGGCACAATGTTAGCAACCCATTGAGGGTATTTGGCAACAGCAAGAGAACCTACATCAAATTGCTTCTTGACCTCCTCCCTAATCTTCAATGACATCTTAGGTTTCATTCTCCTTAATTTCTACTTAACCGGAAAACACTCTGGCTTTAGTGGCAAATTATGCTCGGCTATGTCAACATCTAGACTTGGCATATCTTGATAAGACCATGCAAAGACATCACTATAATCATGTAAGAATTTAATCAACTTGTCGCACTTTTGATTTTTCATAAGAGTGCCTATTTTGATTTCTCTCTTATCATTTTCAGTTCCCAAATTAATCGTCTCAATGGGTTTATAATGAGGTTGGATCTCTTTCACTTCTTGATCAACCAATCTTAGAAATTCTGAGGATAAATCACCATCACTATCATCTTCACTAGCTTGATTAATGGGACAATCAAAATTAGTTGATGAGATATTATCACTATTACTTTCAGACATGTCACTTTCGAATCTGCATTGTGCGAGAGTTGAGACAAAAAGAAAATAAATGAAAAGATTCAAATGATAAAGAAAAAAGACACGAAAGGTTACTGAGAATTCAAATTTCATTTCATTTAAATATACTTAAAAGGAAACATGTGTCCCAACTTACAAAACAAACTGATATTTCAAATTACAAAAGGAAACCATATATTAGTGTTTTCAAAAAGTAATGATATCCTAAATAGGATTAGCTTCAATGATTACTTTGAATGGCCATTAAAAATCACTGGAAGTTCGATGATCTCCCAATTGCCAACTTCTGTGTTTAGTGGACAAGTGCGAACTAGGTTCACAACCTCTTCTCCAGGTACATCCTCATCAGCAGCAGCCACTAAATCTTGAAACTCAAATCCAACACTGTAAAAGCTTTTCAGAAGATCACAAATGGGGACCCCTTTAGTCTTAGGCTCCCTACCTTCCAACCTGGCTAATCTTCTTTCTTTCTTTTCCTCCATGACTCTTCTCTTATCAGCTTTAGTTGGCGTGTATCCCAACCCAAATCTATCCTTATTCTCATAGAGATGTAACCAGTTTGCTGCTTTCGTGATGGTTTGTCCTAACACGTATCCATACTGACAACCTCCGGCAAGCATGACTTTAGCAGTCATTATGGATGTATTAGACAATTGAGGCTCCCTCTCCAACATAAATAGCATTTGCAATCTCTAAAGCCTGAAAAGAGGTCTCTAGAGCTTCTTTAGCAACTTTAATGTAAGGAGTGGACGAAGGCTTACTCACCAACACATCTTTTTCACCAGAGATAATCACCAATTTATTATCAATGATAAACTTCAATTTCTGATGCAATGTTAATGGTACAACTCTAGTAGAATGAATTCAAGGCCTCCCCAAAAGACAGCTGTAAGCTGGTGCGATGTCTATTACTTGAAACAAAATCTGAAAGGTGTAAGGACCAATTTGAATTGGAATCTCAATTTCTCTAATGACCTCTCTCCTTGTTTCATCAAAGGCTCTTACTATCATGGTACTGGGTTTCATATGCGACCCATCACAAGGTAATTTTGACAATGTTGCTTTTGGCATCACATTCAAAGAAGACCTATTATAAATAAGCACTCTTGCAATAATGTAATCTCGGCATTTCACAGAAATATGCAGTGCTTTATTGTGCCCCATTCCTTCAGCAAGTACTTCATCATCAGTGAAGGTGAGATAATTGTTTGAAACAATATTACCAACAATGCCTCCAAATTTGTTAGTAGTGATATCATTGCTGACACGAGCCTCATTTAACACCTTCAAAAGAATCCTCCTATGTGGCTCATAGTTTAGTAATAGGGATAAGAGAAATATCTTGGCTGGAGTTCTGTTTAACTGTTCCACAACTTGATATTCACTTTGTCGAATAAATTTCAAAAACTCACAAGCTTCTTCATTAGACACTGCCTTTTTCATTTCAGGCATTTTTTTTTCGTCAGCATCTTCAAACTCACCCAATTTGGCTTTTTCCTTTGAGGATCTCTCTATCTCTTTTGCTCGCTCTTTTCTCAGCTCCTTAGGTGGATAAATACGACCACTGCGAGTCATCCCACCAACACCAACAATGTTTGAGACGGAAAGAGTATCAGAATTGACACCTTGTGTTTGGTTTTCCTTACAATTGCCAACATAAACCTCTGCATCATACTTCCATGGTACTGCTTTGTTGTCCTTTTAAGGAAATGGAGTCGGTACTTGTATAGTGATGGGTCTAGGTCCATTGGTAGTTGGGGTATCCACACACTTGGTATAATGAATGACCAAAGGTTTCGGAAAGGTTAGTGATTGTTAATCTACAGTCAAAATTTCATTTTTCTCTTTAGGGTGCCCGATTTGGACCAAATGCTTGTCCATCAGGGTTTGCAGAACATACTTGAATTCTTCACAATCTTCAATGGAGCAATCTGCATCAAGGTGCAAATCACACATATTTCCTTCATGTACAAAATCCTTGATCAAGTCAGCCTTGCACAACCCAGCAAAAATAACCTTAAGAGGAGTGGTAACCTCTTCAACTTTCCTCTTTAAAACACATGCAGACTCTTTCTCGATGGCATTTACCGATGGTCCTCCATGCTCAGGTAGGGGATTACTCCTAATGCTAGGATTATCCTCCTTGAAATCTAGCCATTTGACATTAATTAAGTCTTGTACTTTGAACTTTAATGCCCTACAGTTCTCCATCGAATGACCAATGCCACCAACATGATACTCACACTTAGCATTTGGGTCATACCCTCTTGGATAGGGTGGTTCTACAGGTTTCATTGGACATGGTACAACTAATGAACTTTGGAATAGGCGAGGTAGTAACTCAATGTAGGACATGGGGATTGGGTCAAATTGAACTTTTTTCATTTCTTAATTGTTTTGGGGTCTTATTTGGTTAGGATTCGGGTTTTGGTTCCAATGTTGGGGTGGTTTCATGGGTGGTGTTACGGGAAAAGTCGGCAGAGCAGGTTGGTAGGGACACGGTTGATAAGGTTGGGGACTTAGATTTTGTGAAACAACATTGACATATGGGTAAAATATTTGAGGGACAGGAAATGTAGGTTGGAATTGAAAAGGTGCATGGTTAGGTCTGATGAAAGGAATTTCTCTTGGGTGGAAAGTTATAGCATTAGTCTCTCATTCCTTCTTTTTGCCCATTCCAAATTGAGGTTTCTTTGTGTTAGTCATCCCAACAAAACTGTTGGGAATCTTTCCTGTTCTCATGCCACTTTCTACCCTTTCCCCTATGATTACAATATCTAAAAAATTTGATGATACACTTCCAATCATTCTATAATAGAAGGGTGACTGAAGAGTATCAATGAACATAGCCACTATTTCTTTCTCAGATAAAGGAGGTTCAACATGTGCCGCCAGTTCACGCCATCTTTGCGCATACTCTTTGAATGACTCATTTTCCTTCTTAATCATATTTTGCAGTTGCAACCTATCAGGAGCGATATCAATATTGTTCTTGTACTGTTTTAGGAAAGTATCAGCCAAATCTTTCCAACTACGAATACGAGTACGTGATAAGTTTGTAATTAGGCCCTCTTTTACAACCATTTATTCATATTTGACCTTTATTTTTATTGGGTTTTACATTAATTTATTTATTAACTGTGCAGTTTGATATAAAGAGGCCACGAGTAGATTTCGGGTTCATTTTAGGCCCAAATGAATGGGTTTAAAAGCCTCACAACAATAAGCGGGGTGTTTCGACAATATGCACGACCGTGCTGAACCATCATGCACAACCATGCTTGTTCGCGTTAGCCAAACTTGCCTAGTTTAAAGGAGTTCAAATTCTATAAATAGAGAGGAGGAGGCGTCGTAGAAATGATCTTTTTCCCTGAGCATCATTTCACATAAGGCCTTTAAGATTCTTGATCACTTTCACCTCTCTTGCATGGACCTTTGGCACACTATTGGCGACACTTGGAGATTCAAGTGACCATACTTGAAGATTTAAGATTCATCTCTTGTTCTAGTTTGCTTTTCTCTTCATTATGGATATGTTATTGATTATTTCAGCTTTTTCTTTCTACATGAGTAACTAAATCCATAGTTAGGGCTATGGGAATTATTGTTCATGATTTTATGAAATTTTGATATTTGAATCTAGATTTGATTTTCGCTTCGTGATTAGAATTTATCTTATCGTTTCTCATTCTTAACCCTACTTAATTACATCGTCAGGCGATCGTACCTCGATTAATTAATAGATCTATAGGATAAAACGAGATAAAAAATTAGGTAGACCAAACTAATCTTCATCTTCTAATCATTATTGAATTAACAAATTCATAGGCTCCTTAGGCTTTTTCTAAATTGATAACTCGCATGACCATTGGGGATATTAACTTAGAGAAAAGAATGTTAATATTGCATAACCAGTGGATATTAATAGTATTAGTATGAATGATTAGTAATCATCAAGAAATCGGATTTAGATCTAAATAGAAAAATAGCATTAAGGATTGAATGAGAACACTCATACGCCCTAGGTTTCTCTCTGATAAGTGTAACCAAGACGTGCTCTATGTTTCTTGCTCTTAGTTTTTACAATTGATTTTATAAATTCTTGTTTTCATTAATCTCGCATATTTGAAGCTCAAACAATTAAATTAAGAAAACTCTTAGTAGTTGATAAACAATCCTTGTGGGACGATATTTTAGAAACTTAGTTGAAAACCCTTTATTACTTCTCGATGGGTACACTTGTCCTCCGAACAGTACGCTCAAGATGCATATACCAACTCAAAGCTCCCCCAATCAAACTATCTTAGAAAAAGTGAATTAGTAGCTTATCATCATGGGCATGTGATGTCATCTTCTTACAGTACATAATCAGATGACTCTTTGGGCATGTTGTTCCTTTGTACTTATCAAAATCAGGCACTTTGAATTTTGGAGGAACTATCACATCTGGGACCAAGCAAAGATCTACAGCTTCTACAATGCCATAGCTGCTCCCCTCGATAGCTCTCAATCTTTCTTCCAATATTTGCAATTTTTCTCTGGATTGGAAGTGCTCCTCTGAGTAACTGGGCTGAGGTTCTTCTAAGGTCTTATGGGAATGGAATGGTGATATGGCTGGGTTTCCATCAAGGCTAGGATTAGTGATTTGTGGTTGGTGGTGGATCGGTTGGTTTGGGGTATATAAGTTTCTTGGGGATGGGCATTTTGAGGGTAAGCATATAATGGGATGGATGTTTGGGTTGGTTGGATTTGTGGACCTGAAGATTGTGCAGGATTGGGTTGATTTGATGGTTGGCCAGTGTTTGGTGGGTTCTCAGCTATCGGTGGTGTATAACCTTGGGGAAGGCCATATGGGAGAAATTGGACATCTTGTTGATTGAAAGTTTGTTGTGAAGGCCTTTCTACATGTAAGGTCAAAGGCACCATTGTTTCATGAAGAGGAAAACTTTGAGACGGTCCTTGTGTAGGGGTAAAACTTGGTGGATAGGTAGGAGTGGGTTGTGCTGGAGGTGCTTGAGTATGGGTCCCCTTTGTGGTTCTTCTCTCTAAAGACATCAGCGCCTCTAGGATTTGTGTCATTTGTTCTTTTAGCTGGTTAACATCGTTCCTCAGTTCTTCATTGTGCTCCTCTAACTCATCCATGATCCTTGCTTGAGCGCGTGTTCTATAAGGATGCTTTAGAAAACGTTTCCCCGTTATATTTGTTTAATTTTCTGAAATAGTTATGTAGTCACAAAAGAATTAATCAAAATAAAAAATACACTTAAAAAATAACAACCAAAGACTAAAGAATCATCACAGTTGTTAAGCGTCTTCGAGTCTTTAATGGAAATGAAACACACAAAAATATACTTCATAATCAAATCAAAACATCAAAGTACATCAGAATTTGATTCAAAATAGATCTTTTTTTTCCTACCCATACATAGTCTACCCATACCCCAAATCATTACATCACCCTTTCCTAGCCCTAACTATCATTCCTTTCATCTTTGAGACCAACCAGTTGCAATAGCTAAGGAAGTCTTTAATCTCTTGAGGTGTCGTGTGAAAAAATGTAGCTATCTCGACATTTGACAACATGCGCAGGACGTCATCAATCGCGATATTAGCTAATGATGCAAGCTGTATAAAGCGTTTGACCCAATATTTCTGACCATCTTTCACCTTCACTATGGCTTCATATTCTTTCATGATTCTGATCACTTCCCATTTTTCAACATTAATTTTGGTCTCGCATGCCATGACAATTTTCTTTATTTGCTCTTCCATATTTTGCACTCGTGTTTGGAGTTCACTGGCTTGAGTCAAAGCTTCTTCTCGATCTCCTTTTGCCTTGTACAATGCACCTTTCAACTGTCGTTTCTCATATAAAGATGCATTTCGCTCCTTCACCCTCAATCCTAATTCCTTATTTGCAGCTTCAAGGCAACGCTGAACTTTAGTTGCATGGCTTTGCACAGACTTTTGCTTCTTACAAACCTCTTCATAGGCCTGTTGTTTTTCATTGTTCTCTCTCTTCAAAATAGAGCAAGTTTGGCGGCTCTCTCGAAGGTACCTTTCTACTCTCACATTCTTCTCAATCATCTTAGCCAGTCTTGTCTTTAATTCTTTTACTTCTTCATTCTCAAAGGGTTCTGGATTAGATGACTCACTTTCTTGGGAGGTACCTGGATCTTTGACTAGTAACTTAATCTCTTGGACTCTTCCTTTAACCCATTGACGGTAACTTACTTTCGCTGCATAACTTCTCACGCCTAACTCTTTTCCTTTTCGAACAACCCTTGCCCAAGCATTTCTCGCCTAAGCTCAGTGAAATTTTTATCTTCATAGTAGACAACAAAAGGAACTAACAATTCCACAGCAGGTGGTCCCATCATAGGATAAATGAGCTGACGTTGTCCTAAAATTGGATTGTAATTTATACAACCTCAAGTACCCATAAGAGGAACATTTGGATAATTGCCGCAATGATAAATAATGATCGTCGACTATCGCCATGGAGTGTGCCACCTGATGTGTCCTTCATTCAAGCTAGCTAAGTGATTAGCCCACTCTTGACCATTTTTCTGCCCAATCTGAAACCTCAGTAAATCAGTGATCGGACACTTGATTTCACTTGGCCTTTTAAAGACATGAGCCGTGAGCCATATATAAAGCATAGGTAGACAACATATAATCCTCTTTCCTTTCCTTTCATGGCAAAAACTCAGTGTACAATAAACATCAGCTAGTATTGTAGGGACGAGATTTTCAAATTGATTTTTGCATGCAAGAAACACATCTATTGCTGCTAAATCCCAAAGTTGTCATGCTTAGGGAAGAGGACAATGCCATAAATGGTGAGTGCTAGGACATCCATGAAAGTCTCCTAATCTTCTTTTTCTGCCAAATTATGCATATGCCGCTCAAAAAATTCTCTTGTGAATCCTCTATTCTGATGTCATTCTTGATAAGCTTATTGTAACTCTACTGGATGGATCCTTAAGATATTGGCGATAGTTGGCAAAGATACATGATGTTCCATAGGGCGATATGGCTGTTGACCCTCTAAAGGTAGGTTCAGAATTTGCTTAAATTCCTCTAATGTCGGATCCAACTGAAAATCTTGAAAGGTGAAGCACCTTAATGGGGAATCATAATACTGGACTAGGACTGTTATGGCATCTTATTGCACATTCACTTCCAGCAATCTCTTAATATTTCCATACCTCCTCACTAAAGTGAGTTGTTGAACCGTCTTCAGCTTCTTTCCTAATTCTCTCAAACTAGCAGTATCAGCTTTTTTAACTTTC